TTTTTTTTTTTTTTTTTTTTGAGACAGAGTTTCACTCTTGTTACCCAGGCTGGAGTGCAATGGCGCGATCTCGGCTCACCGCAACCTCCGTCTCCTGGGTTCAGGCAATTCTCCTGCCTCAGCCTCCTGAGTAGCTGGGATTACAGGCACGTGCCACCATGTCCAGCTAATTTTTTGTATTTTTAGTAGAGACGGGGTTTCACCGTGTTGATCAGGATGGTCTCGATCTCTTGACCTCGTGATCCACCCGCCTCGGCCTCCCAAAGTGCTGGAATTACAGGGTGAGCCACCGCGCCCGGCCCACTTTTTTTTTTTTTTGAGACAGAGGTTCACTCTTGTTGCCCAGGCTAGAATGCAATGGTCCAATCTTGGCTCAACGCAACCTCTGCCTCCCGGGTTCAAGCGATTCTCCTGCCTCAGCCTCCCTAGTAGCTGGGATTACAGGCATGCGCCCCCACGCCCAGCTAATTTTGTATTTTTAGTAGAGAAGAGGTTTCTCCATGTTGGTCAGGCTGGTCTCCAACTCCCTACCTAAGGTGATCCACCCGCCTCAGCCTCCCAAAGTGCTGGAATTACAGGGTGAGCCACCGTGCCTGGCCAAACTTTTTTTTTTTTTTTTTTAAGATGGAGTCTCGCTCAATCACCCAGGCTGGAGAGCAGCGACGCGATCTTGGCTCACTGCAACTTTCGCCTCCCAGGTTCAAGTTCAAGAGATTCTCTTGCCTCAGCCTCCTGAGTAGCTGAGATTACAGGCATGTGCCACCAAGCCTGGCTAATTTTTGCATTTTTAGTAGAGATGGGGTTTCACCATGTTGGCCAGACTGGTATTAAACTCGTATAGGGTCTAGAATTCCTCCGTGGAAGAAGCAGTGGGCTGACCTGAGGTGATCCGTCCACCTCAGCCTCCTGAAGTGCTGGGATTGCCACCGCGCCCGCATTTGGCCACTTCTTCAGACTTCAGATTCTTGTATAATACCGCCCCCCCCCCCTCCCCCCCCCCCCCCCCCGTATATGTGAAACGAACAAAATTTGTACACTTTTCTCTTGTTAATCTTTCTGGTGTCAGTTTGTTTTCTAGATCCAGCTCGAGAACCCACTAAGAACTAAAAGAGCGGTTGGAGGTGATCTCTGGCTCCTTTGCAGCACTATATAAATGTCTGTTATTACACTTTTTTCTACATTTGAAAAGTTTCAGAATTAAAACCATATATATGTTCACAAAAATGGAAAAAATTCAAATGTTCATTGATGAACAGATAAACAAAATGTGGCATATCCATACAATGTAACACCATTAAAAAAAACCTGAAACAACATGAATGAATCTCAAATATATGCTAAAAATAAAATTATGCTGGGCAAAAGAAGCCAGACTAGAAAAGTCTACATAATCTGACTCTGTTTGTATGAACTTTCCGGAAAAGACAAACTGATAGAGACAGAAAGTAGATCAGTCCTTGCTCAGGGTAAAGGATGGAAATGGGAGGGTCTACAATTGGATAGGAGGGGTCTTTGTGGAGGTGATGGAAATGTTTGAAAACTGGATTGTAATGATCAATGCATTACTCTATAAATTGGCAGCTAAAAATCCTTGAATTGTATGCGTAAAATGGGGAAAGTTGATTTTACATAAATTATACTACTTTGGTCGATTTTGCAACAAATAAATTGATTTTTTTTTTCAGATGGAGTCTTGCTCTGTTACTCAGGCTGGAGTGCAGTGGTGCTATCTTGGCTCACTGCAATCTCCTCCTTCCGGGTTCAAGCAACCCTCCCACCTCAGGCTCCTGAGTAGCTGGAATTATAGGCACCCACCACCATGTCCAGCTAATTTTTGTATTTTTAGTAGAGATGGGGTTTCATCATGTTGGCCAGGCTGGTCTCGAACTCCTGACCTTAAGTGATCTGCCTGCCTCAACCTCCTAAAGTGCTGGGATTTTAGGAGTGAACCACCACGACAAGCCGAAATAAATTAATTTTTTTTAAAAGATAAGACAAGAAAATAAATTATATCTCAATAAAACTGTTAAAATATAAACTTCTACGGCCGGATGTGGTGCATGAATCAACGACCTCATGTCATAGCTCATTTAATTAAAAGGTTTGACATATTATATATAAAATGGTTTATAAATCATGAAGTACTATAAAAACGTAATAAATCATGATTATGGAATATTCATTGTTAATTGAACTCTTCTCTCCCCCTTCCTCTCCTTCCAGCTTCACTGTACATTCATTCAACATGTCTTTTTTGCAGCTACTGTGTGCCACAAATTGTTCTAGACCATGGAGATTTAGCGGTAAACAAAACAAACAGAAATTCATCTTCTTATGGAGAAATAGCCATAGCATTTAGCAACATGGAAGTCATTGAGGATCTTGACAAGAACATTTTCAGTGGTGCTTCGGTAAAGAGAAGGTGGGAGGAGACAAATGTGAGACAGTGCAGACAGATAATTCTTTTTTTTTTTTTTTGAGACAGAGTCTCACTCTGTCACCCAGGCTGGAGCTGGAGTGCAACGGTGTGATCTCGGCTCACTGCAGCCTCTGCCTCCCGGGTTCAAGCAATTATCCTTTCTCAGCCTCCCTAGTAGCTGGGACTACAGGCGCATGCCACCACACTCAACTAATTTTTTTGTATTTTTAGTAGAGACAGGGTTTCACCGTATTAGCCAGGATGGTCTCAATGTGCTGACCTCATGATCTTCCTGCCTTAGCCTCCCAAAGTGCGAGTTTACAGGCATGAGCCACCATGCCCAGCCTTTTTTAAGATGGAGTCTTGCTCTGTCGCCCAGGCTGGAGTGCAGTGGCTTGATCTCGGCTCACTGAAACCTCCCCCTCCTGGTGCAAGTGATTCTCCCGCCTCAGCCTCCCCAGTAGCTGGGATTACAGGCATACGCCACTGTGCCCCACTAATTTTTGTATTTTTAGTCAAAAGTGGTTTCGCTATGTTAGCCAGGCTGGTCTTGAATGCCTGACATCAGGTGATCCACCTGCCTCGGCGTCCCACAGTGTTGGGATTACAAGCATGAGGCACCTTGCCTAGCTAATAATTCTTTTGAGGAGTTTTGCTGCAGAGAAATAGTTCTCAGCCTGTGGTGGAGGCGGGGTGATGACTGTGTTCCCAGGGAACATTTGGCAATATCTGGAGACATATGAGGTGGGGTGGGGGTTGCTTCTGGTATCGGGTAGATAGATACTAGGGATGCTGCTAAACATTCTGTAATGTACAGAACAGCCCCCCACAGCAAAGTGGAGCAGAAATTTACATTCATGCCAGGCACAGTGGCTCACACCTATAATCCCAGCTACTTGGGAAGCTGAGGCAGGAGAATCACTTGAACCTGGGAGGTGGAGATTTCGGTGAACCAAGATCACTCCATGGCACCCCAGCCTGGGTGACAGAGGGAGACTGTAAAAAAAAAAAAAAATTAAATTCCTATATTTAAGTAGCCAGTCCAAAATGTCGAAGTGTCAAGGTTAAGAAACCTTGCTGTAAAGGGAAGGAGGACATGAATGGCAGCAAGTGGGTGAAAGAGAGGATTTTTGTTTTCAGATGGGAGAAATATCATGTTTATATACTGATGGGAATGAAGGAGAATATGTCACTGGCTAAATGGTAGAAGAAAAGTTGATAATTCCTATAAAGAAATAGAGCTAAAACACTCCTGCAATACTGATAAACTCACACAACGAATGTATGAAGCAAAAATGATTATAGAGA